TGTTTGAACTCGTTTGTTTTTATTGAAATTGCATTTACACTTGCGTTTCACAAATTCTGAGATTCTAAAGCGCTTTCCATGCATTAGGTGGTTGGATTATGTTCTTACTGTGTTGTCCTGCGAGGAACAAACCTAGCCAAACGGTTTGGTTTTCTAGGCGTTTCATGACTGAAATTGATTCATTTAGAGCGTAACAGCAGACGTCAAGCGTTACGAGAGATCAAAACTACGAATTTGACTCAGAGATGGGAGCTGTTACTATCTTTTTAAGTAGAGAGAGTTAAAAGCTTTGAGAATGACAGTTGATCGATGAAAAGCTTTGTTAACCAGCTAGTGTCCAATGATATTTCTGGGGTCGCATGTCAAAGTTTTATGGCGGGACACACTTGAAAGGAACCAAAACTGGGCTGCTAAACGTGGAATTTTAATCCTTTAAGAAGGGAGACTTGATACTTCAGAATAGAAATAGACCAAAGGGATCTTTTGTAAAAAAAGAATTGTCCTCCGCTTACCATATAAAAAAGTGGGAAGCTTAACAAAATCTGAAACTAGGATTGGATACTTGTGAAAATGTCCTTTGAAGTGTAGATTTTCGGATGGTTAGGCTTTGCTCGAGGATGGCACCGAATCCTTTTTGGTCACAGCACGAGGCCGATTAAATGGTTTTACATAAACGTCCCTTGCTCGTTCAATAAGCGATCAGGGCTAGATACATAGATGGGCTTCAGTGTGCTGGATGCAATCGTCCTCATGAGGGCTTGGATGACCTGTCTGCAAATAATGTGGAGCTCGGTTTTGAAGATTTCTCATTCGTAAGAGCCGGCAGAACTCACACATGTAAAGGAGGGAAAGTGAACTCACTCACTGAAAATACGTCACCTCAACCGTTATGGATAACGAACCACATGAAAGCAGAATGTACGTATTAGTTAGTTTCCGCTTATAGTTCAAGAAATAAACAGTTTTGTTTACATCAGGTCTGGTGAGCAATATCTTGCCAAGCAGATTCATCACTTAATTCCTTAGTAATCGATGCTTCATTTTAAAAAACTTTAACTAACCTCCTGTTGACTAGAATAATTTAAGGACTGAGTTATTGTGAAATTACTGGCAACAAAAGTTAGTTAACGCATTTACTATGTGTGCCCTGGTTCAACATATAAAAGAAGCAACCAGATACAGCCTCTACACAGAATCATCCTTGTTAGGTTTCATGCTCACGAGGATGACACCACAAACCTCTGTTATAAATCACTTATAGGTAAGTGACCGTTAGGTTTTAATTTTTATTAACGTACGCTTATCAAAAACGATGTGTCAGCTCAAGTCAGGTCGAAGGATTTGACAGTCAATACGTACTCAATCGAAACGGCTTGGGAGGTATTTAGGTATTTGTAAGTAAAAGTTCCTTGGACCAGACCATGGGATCCGAAAATCACCCACCGTCGTTCAGTAAAGACGTTTGTACTCTTTACAGTAAAATGGAATTGTGTCAGCGACATTTAGGCCACTGGGTGCTGATGAAACAAAATGTCAATATCAAAAGGTTTGAAATAAATGTAATTTAACCCTCAGTAAGCTTAGAAGATTGTATGAAGAAGAGCTTGTTAAGGGGTCTATAAGATAATCAAAACGCTTGTATTCGTACACGAACTAATGGCCTAAGAGGAGAGATAGTACCGAAGATCACATAATGGCAATAGCGCCTTATCACTTGGCGAAGATAATCATCGGAAAGCTCAAATATTCTCTAGTTACTTGAGTAGATATTATGCCGTAGGTCGGCCTCCCTTATGTAAAGTCCTCGGACGTGTTATTGCGCTCGCATGTAAATGACATTTCTTGTTTCCTATTTTCATCATCGATTTTATTGGATGCTGGAGATATCAAGATGTAAGGGGCAGTAAAATAGCGAACAAACGACCAACGAGTATCTCCTGACTGTTCAGGAATATTGAAGTTGTCGGCGAACGCTTCTAAGTGTATTATGAAGAATGATCGTCACCAAGGCACAGATATATACAATGAGAATAATACTGGGTCACCTGTTGCCCGGACATAACTTCATCTGGGAGTCACTATTATCTAGAATTTCCGAACCTCTACACACTGCCGTGCGATAGCTGATAACAATTTTACAAACCCCTAATCAATACGCAGAGTCTTCAGCAAGAAGATTCCGAGCCCTTTTTGACTTTGTTCACGGTGTTCGCTCAAGCTCGAGTATTGCATATGGACAGTTCTTGCTTAAAGAGATACTAGGAGCAGTTGGAAGAGGTTCAAACGTTCATGAATAAGTTTGTTCCTGAAGTCACTAAGCTGCCATATGACGAAAGATTATTTAAACCAAACCAATATTCCTAGAATAAAAATAAAGAAAGTTCGACGGAGAAAAATTTTTTCTCGACGAAATCATTTGTATAAGCTGTAAAATCGTATTTATTGTTATACGAAAAATAAATATTTCTACAGAAGAATAGAAAAGATTACGTCAAAATTTGATTCAAGACTCTAATTACCAATTGAGGTTACGCAATAATTAAAGTGTAAGAGAAAAATATAAGGTTAAATATAAGTCATGGTCTGAATTATGAAAGATAAGGTCCGATTGACAGATATAAAAAAACAGCAAATATAAGGGTCATAATAACAAAAACTGAATAATAACCAAGATAACTTGCTTAAGGGTAACAATCGCTGACTATAATTCAAAATTACAAAATACTAATTTAAAAAATTATTAATTATAATGTAAATAATAAATGAAATGATAGAATGTTACTACAAAAAAGAAGTAGGGCCATGAAAGGACATATTAAAGACGTTCAAAAGCCGAGAAGATATTGCTTGTCAACTGGTTACCTATTTTCCTATTGAATCATGAGAAAATGTAAACCATTACCACAACTTCCGACCAAAGCTCTCGATGATTTCAATTAGAATTGAATTGAATGAGAAACTACCACCGCCAAGACAAACACAGGCTGCTCAGCATTTTGTTCCTTCCAAAGTGGTCCTGTAACTGCACCCAAATAATTAACTAGGATCATTCATTATTCCCGTTTATTAAATCATATTTACATTTTCTATCAAATGAATGCATTAAAATAATAGTTTATCGACTAAGTCAGTAAAAACCGATTTCTCAACAATTCAGTATATCCGAATTGTGTAAGCGTATCAAATCGAGATTGCAGTCTGTATCGTTGACATTCCATTTGTCCGGTTTAATGTTGAGGTTGGTGACAACATTTCGTGGGTTTTTATGTATTATCATGGCAATTGTGGAGCCGTTTGTAATAAAGATTGGAGTCAGTGAATGCATGAAGATATTTATTTTTAAAGCATAAACGCTTATTTAAACGTTTTGTTCAGGTAAATAACTGCACTAAATGGTAGAACGACAGTACTAATAGAGCGATGAAAACAAAATATTGGTTTTGCGGCGAAGTCTTTTGCTCTAAAAGATTCCTAACATTTCAGGGTTGAAATGCATCAATGTCATCAACAATAATTTATGTAAATAGGCTATTTGAAGCTATTTCGTCCTTTACTGTAGTACGCAGAGCAATCGAAAAATTAACAGTTGATTTAGAATCATCGACGAAGGGAGTTAGTTTTTTCTTTCATAACCGTGGTTTCTATGCTGGGAACTGGTATTAAACCAGCAAACTCCACTGTTCACTGTCTCAACTTACCGTCAAAACTTTTAAGGCTGATATCGGTCTACATACATAGTCCATACTCTAGAAGCTACATTCAAAGAACGAAAAGTCCATGATCGCTTCGTAAGTTGTGACAAATCTTCATAAAATTCAAAATGACAAAATTTTTGGTGATGGTCTTTAGAAGTAAACGAAAGCTTGTTGAGGACCGAAATGGCTATTATTTATACCTTACATGGAACTAAAAGCAATGCGAGTATAATTAATTACCGATTCAACAGAACTGTTTGCAGTAATTCAAGATTACAGTTTTTGGTTATGGGCATAGTTTCTGTGTCCGCGGTTCAGAGTGCGAACTGTTTCGAAAAATGAATAGTACAAACGATGGATATTGTAGTCCGGGCTTTTTCGCACGCCACAAGAGATAATTACGCGTTGAAAGACATTGCGAGATTTGTTTACATAAATTAGTTTCCATAATACCTGTCTGGGCATTTTTATAACCAAAGTAAATATGCATTCTATTGGTAACAAAAATGGCCAGTACTAGTTTGTTATCCTGGAGACGGCAGCTGCTCGGTTTTGTTACTAGGACAAATCACAGGAAAATGGTGTGCTTACTTTGCAAGTGGATATAATGAATAAGCGTCATCTGCAACTACCGTAACTATGATCTTCTGGAACTCTATGAAAGTTTTAGTGAATTTTTAAATTCGTCCTATGTCAAAAGCCTTTGAGATAGGATTATCCGCCGAAAGTATCCGTTAGATCGGTCAGAATACACTCAGAATTACTTAACGCAGCACTAATACTGAATAAATGGATCGAAAATTATGGCAGTCACAAGGGGACGCAACATACAAACTCCCTTAAATCTAGCCATTGGTCGACGATCAAAAAGTGCAACACTGAAGTTTTCTTAAGCTGAGAGGCAGTCAAAACCTTTCGACACATAGAAGTATACCGTGTGACGTTTCGTGAAACATACAGATCTTTTAAAAGCACACAGAATACTGAGATGAGCTAGCCTACAAACAGTACCGATATGACCCAAGCTCCCAATTTTGGGGAAATTTCGGGGAAGCCGCTATAGTAAACTTTGGAGAAATAGCACTGAAATTTCCCCAGACCTGCAGAAATCCTCAATATTTCTCCAAAATTCCCATTTAACCTTGATCAAGGTCATTTGGATTTAGGGATTTCCCCAGAATTCCCCAAATTTTTACTAAACTTCCCCAAAATTTCCCTAAAGTTGGTAGCTCGGAGAGGTACTGTAAATATGGAATGACCACCTTGGGCCAGACCACTCAAGGTTGCCGAAATGAGAAAGCGGTAATTTCACTTCCAAACTGTTGATGACCAGGGATAGCTGTTGATTTGTCACACGGTAGGCTGCGTAATGCTTTTAAAAGATACTTTCTGGGGTTTCTTGCAGTTCTGTTGTTCATTATTTTACATGTGTTGTGCCTTTAAAACTAAAGGGAACTATTGTGAATTAGCCCACTGAGACAGGACGTATCAACGCCTTACATATAATTGAGTTTTCTTCATCCTAAGCAAAACCAAACTTTTGGCCTAAGCATGAATAATTCATATATAATTAGTTGCGCACCTTATCTATTGATAAAAACGAGTATTTTGAGGTATCCGGGCGCTTTCTTTTTGGAAAGTAATCAACGTTAAGTTCTGCCAGTTACTTTGGGAGTATATGAGATGTCATTTCTTGAATGTTAAGAAGAGTAAAATAGATTGTCAGTCTTATATCACGACATTTTTCGTGGGTTAGCACGCGCTTCAACATTATTTTAAAGTAAACGTTGGCTTCATCAGGTACAGTATACTGTAACACTACGTAGTGTTAATAAACATAGAGGTGAATTCTCTTCGTAGTCGTCTAAGTTGAATGCTTTTATCACTTAGGAAGCTGTTGACTGCAGGACTATTGGATATATTGTTGTCATGCCAGAAGTGTGTGTACGGTGTTAGTCCATAGTTTTAATTGACAGTTGTAGGCAAAATATACATTGCTGAGACCAATTTATGGACGACCTTTGGGCGTCGCTAAAATGACCCTGATCATATCCACCTATTAAAACTAAATGAGGGTTATAAACCAGTGTGAGGAATTAGAGCTGTGATTTGCAGTTGATGGTTGGAGTCAAGAATTAGATTTAGTGTTCCCATCACGAACTGACAAACTGCAATGCCAAAACGCTACTTGGCCAAGTGGATGAATAAATTTCGCGCCAAAATACAAGACCTGTTATCTTATATCTGATTAGTTCGTTCTTAGTCTCACCACTGCACTAGTATGTAAAAAGACATTCGTAATTTTTTCATTTTATTTCCGATGAGAAGTATAAGCAAGCGAGTTAATGTCAAATAAATATGTGGAATAGCTACAGTCTATATCTGGGTAGGATTTTCTGTCCTTAATTAGCTATGAAACATTCCCGAAAATGGTTAATCTCGTCTGAATATTCTGAGTTAATAAGTGAGTCTCCCAGCTGTAAACCAATCCTTAGAAAATCAAATAGTGATAACTTAATCTGTACGTGAATGTCTATTACAAAGATAGAAATGGGAAAATTGAGTTACCTTAACAAACACCATTTTGCCGTTAACCATTATAATGACAATTTTCCTTAGGTTTTGACTCAGTTACTGTAGTATTAATAATTCAGTTTGTCTTAGCACTCACTGTTGACAGGAAACATTGAATGATGGTAATTAATTCAAATTTACCGTACAGAGACCTGATAGTAGTTTAGTATCGAGGCATTATTGTTAACTGCTTACGATTTTATTTCTATTGTCTTACCTTTATCAATAAGTAGTCGGTATGTTACGTATATCTACCATGCACACCAGGGTTGAGTAGTAGGTTGGTAAAAAGGGAGCGGACAAATCGAAATGTACCATCAATCTATAAAGTCATTGTCTGGGCGATGCGTCAGTGGTGCTCAACTTTCACCAACTAGGTCGCAGGTTCGAACCTTGTCAAGTACATGAATTTGTACGTGGAAAATGAGCTTATGAATAAGAATTTCATACTCGCACTTTATGAGTAACATTTATGTATTCGCTGAAGCGTAATTGGTTAGTTAGTTATTTTTTGATACTTGCAGTTTGCCAGGTCGCACATATTCAGGATGGAAAATTTCCTTCAGAATGAAATTCGGTATAGCTAATATCTTCATCTGCTTTATCAAAATGACTATTATTCTGCGCATGGTAACCTAATAAAAGTAGCATTCTAACTAAATTGCTCCATTTTAGATTGTTGCACTTTAAACAACAGAAAATCAGCGAAAGCAAAAAAAAAGCATTACAACACATGAGTAAAACGAGGGGACGTCAAATGCTAAGGCTCCCAAATATAAAACATGTGATTAAAACTGCCCGAGGGTGACTCCCATCTGATTTTCAACCATGAGCAATGTTGGACCTTGTACATAAGTGTTTCGATCCAAGTTGTCTCACCTCGTCAACACAGCACAATAGAATCAGTTGTATGGAAGACGAAGCTCTCCAAATTTATGTACTGTAAGTACTGAGCAAATAAAAAATGATAAACATGCGGTCGAGCGAAGGAGTTAAGTTTTGGGATGAAGTAAATGTAACAATAGTGCTTTTAAGTTAGAAGTAAAATAAATTATGAATCCATCAACAATACAACTCGTTTATAGCTATGTAACATTACCTTCAACTATAGGGTAGTGTTTCCGATATTATTAATTTTAGGAAGCCTGCAGCTTAATATGACCCAATCTCAGTCAGTCATAAAGTGGAGCTATACCTTGTTTTGGATTAAAAGTTCCCAGTCTTCTTCCAACCTACTCTTACTCCTGTCACGATTCCCAGTTGAGTTAGGAGGTTGCTATGAATGCGTAATACATGCTTCAGTGAGTTTGGTTGATTCATCCTCCGAAACTGTAATTAAAGTGGTGTGAAATAGATAACAATTGTTTAGTTACATTTATAATTTATCTTCTAAATCTTGAGTTTAGTATCATTCTAAGATTTTCATAGGGAACGACAGCCTTTTATCAAATGTTTTTAGTGATGACTGATGGTATTGTAACCTGTTTACTTTCATTATTAGGGAAATATGAATTTCCAGGCATAAAAATTCCTTTTAATGTGGGTGATAGATTGAGATAAACGATTAGCTGCAAATAGTTTAAGTCCTTCATCAAGATGGTCAAATCTTCCCGGACGCTGTCATAAAATTGGTATTTCTCAACCCCACTGCTATTATTGGCGGGTACGTACCACTTTGTTCTTTGCTTTGAAAGATACTTTGGTGATCTTGCAGCTGTGAATTTCCCATCCTATGAACGCTTTTCATGCTTTTTTGGACAGTATATGTTAGACTTCTTGTGCTTGCGGGGCGTTCTCTTTTTAATAATCAGATTACAACATCATCTCTCCCAAAGTTAGTCTTTTCCATGCAGATTGTGTCCAATGGGCTTCGCTTATCTCGATAAGGGTCAGGTTATACATAATTTCCCCACTATTTGAAAGACCTCCCCGGTATATGAACTTTCTACTTACCGATGTTAATTGTTGCTCTGGTTTTTAGGAGGGACATCGGTCATCTAACTTTCGAAGAATGTTAGCTTTCATCATGAGAGGTCATAACTATTCTCTATGAAGACCTTTCAACTCACTGCAGAATTTACATGGTCTAAGCGGTTGTTTCTGGCTAACGCTTTTTAGCGAGGTTCTTTTCTACGGGGGTTGGGATCGCTTACTCTCCTTTACTTAGGTTTGAGAGCGTCAGTAATCGTAGATAGCTCCTGGTGTTGAGGTTTTTCTGAGGAATTCCACTTCTTAAAGTTTTTGTACGCCACGGTTTAAATCTCTCATGCTACTGAATATTATATTTTCATTTCTAGATTATCTAGCGGCAAATAAAATAATTACGTCCTGATGAATCGAGAGGATGGATTCTCATCACTTGTCACCCAAGCCCGTCTAAAATGTGAGGAAGGGAATTTTCATGAGTCACTCAAGCTTTGTCAGGATGCCTACGCAATAAATCCTTCCTCTAGTCTTATGCGAAAAATTGTCCGTCTTCAAAATTTACTAAGCCAAGATACCAAGGAGAACATTCCAATAGCTCCCGAAAAATCTGACAGTCCTTCAAAAGTAAGATTTTTGTTGTTTTTACTGCTTATGCAAACAGGGAGTTGCTAAGTACTTTGTTTGTGAGTCTGAGAAGTATGTGTCTCCTAGTAAAATAACTGACAGCACTAATCTTCTGAAGGAAGCGTATCTATGTGTTCCATCAGCTGAGATTGAATCAAAGATTGAGCGAATTGAACCAGCACATCCTACAACCTATACTAGTACTCCAAACACGAAAGAAGCTTTAGGGGAAGAAAAGGTATGTACCCGTTTTTGATAAATTTTCATGGACGAAAATAGGTTTATGATGGTATTCAGTTCACTCTAATTGATAAAGCAAAACTGTTATATCAATCTGGAGACTACGTTGAATGCCTTCGTCTTCTTAAAAAAGCCTACAATCTTAAGCAATGCGATAAAGTAAAGCGGAAAATTGAAAGGATTGAAAATTATTTGAAAGAAAATGGAATTCCTGTTGATCATTATGATCATAAGTTGCACACTAATAGTGTTGTTACTGCAGTTGACCATTATAATGAAAAGGACCCTCCTAAACTCACCTATGATTTGGTCGAAATAGCTGATGGATTTAGTGTTCCTAAGTTGTTATATGATAAATTGTATGATTATCAAAAGTATGGTGTTGAATGGCTTTGGAGTTTACATCAGAAAAATTCTGGCGGCATATTAGCTGATGATATGGGACTAGGTAAAACAGTTCAGGTAAGTGTATTTTGCAGTTTAAATCCTTTGACTTTAGAAATGGACTCAGCGAACGTCTCATGTATAATGTTATTTAATTTAATACATTTCAGCTTTTCAACTTGAAAGTGAATTATATCTTTCTCAGAAAAATAGTTTTGTGTTCCTAGCTAGTGCTAGGTGAGAAACTGTTCACTTATTTTTTTTCCTAATTCTGTCTTTTTCCAGAAGTAGTCCCACCCTCACCCCAGATATCAAAGCTTAATCTCTTGCCTAGAGATACTCAAATTACTTGAGAGTAACGGTACATATATGTCAAGTCAGTGCAGTGTTATGGACAATAATGGACTATTTCATAATGTTTGGGATAAACAGAGACCACTGTTTCATGTTCTAGTTTACCCAAGAAACTGCTGTAGAGACTAAATTAAGTATGAGTACTGACCACTACTTTTAAACTAATGATTTTATCAAGTTTATTGAGTAAGTAACTAACAACATTTCAGAACAGATATATAAGACTTGCTTAGTATTTACATACTGACATCTATCGTGCGTACGAAGTAACCAGGTGTATAAGTTTGTCATTTGCTAAAATTTCTGCTTTTCAGAAAGATTTAGGGTCTACTAAACAATGAATTGGTTAATTCTTCAAAGCATATCTCTGTGAAGAAAATGTTTACGTTATCACTCATCAGATGACGTAAAGTATTTGCTTATTATCCGGAGTCTGAGCGTTTGACTCTTAGCGGACAAAGAGTGAGTTAGAATATCACTTGACGTTCAGGTTAAATTTCTGGTTTCTAAAACATTTTAAGAATACAATAACTGCCCTAATTCACTGGTATTAAAAATTTTAAGTAAACTATATAGGAGTTTTTGAATACTGACTGTCTGATAGATGCGCTACCAACTCAACGCATTCTAAACATTAGATTACGCGGTCTCCAAATATGGTTTGTGGAAATTTGTGCTTATAGGTCTTATGCAGTTTGTTTCTCTTTGAACTTGCTAAGGTGAATTGATAAATATTAAGTAGTTAATAGTAGCTTACAGAGACTCAGTGTTTTTGAAATAGACGTTCTGCGTTGCTACAGACAACTTCATTCTCCATGGCGTACTAAACAACGTATACTCATGACATAAATGGTGATAGCAAAACAATTTTCTAATTACTTTTTCACATTTCTCACCTCAAAGTTTAAGTGCGAATATAGTGTTTATAATTATTTACTGTAGGCCGTGTTAGTAGTAAATATTCTTTCTTTGTTAATTTGTAGGTTATTGCTTTTCTCTCTGGCCTATTCGTATCTAGTAAATTTTCTTGCACAGTGTTGATTGTGATGCCAGTCAGTGTTTTGGTTACTTGGGAAGCTGAACTAAAAAGATGGGCACCAGGACTTCGTGTTATTGTTTTTCATGATAACAGTCGAGCGGATCGTCTTAAAAGTTTAGTATCAATCCAACGACATGGTGGTATTCTACTTACAACATACGGAACACTTGTTTCCAGCATAAAAGATTTATCTACTGATTTAAATGCAAATCCTGAATTTTTAAGGTCATACAAAAAGCAAAAATCCACTGACAATGATACCAGTGATATTCTTGCTAGAATGGGTAAAGAATTTCATTGGACTTATTTAATATTGGACGAAGGACACAAAGTCAAAAATTCATCTGCTAAGACGACTAAAGCAGCTCAAGCAATTTATGCAGATCATTGTATCCTCTTAACTGGTACTGCTGTACAAAATAATCTCAGGGAATTATGGTCTCTTTACAATGTAACTCATCGTGGTCGTCTCTTAGGTACACAAAAAACGTTTTCTATTGAATATGACAAGCCAATAACTCGTGGACGCGAGAGAGATGCTTCTCGTGCTGAAAAAGTACACGGTCAATTAATGGCTGAAAGTTTACGACGTATAATAGATCCATATTTCTTAAGACGCACAAAATCCGAAGTTTTATCTCAACAGTATAATATGAATGCGGCTGTACCGATCAAAGATAAAATGCCACGTAAAACAGAAATTGTATTATGGGTGTACTTAAGTTCCATACAAGAATCCACATACCGTGATTTTTTACAACTTGATAACGTAAAAGAATTATTAATGCAACGTACAAAACGTTCACCATTAATGGAATTGGTAATTCTAAAAAAGCTCTGTGATCATCCGCGTCTTTTGTCTACTGAACAATGTTTAAATCTTAATTTAAATTATGATGGCAATAGCAAAGGAGATAATTTTCATATTGATGAAATTGTTTCACATAAAATACATTTTCCACCATCAGAACAACTGATTAAAGAATCTGGGAAATTCTTGTTTCTGCATTGTTTGATGAAACAGTTCTTGCTTGAATTACAGTCAAATCCACAAAGAGATTCACCGCGCACGTTGATATTTTCACAAAGTATAAAATTTCTTGATATGGCTGAAAAAGTCATTCTAGATATAAAATGTCCTGTTAATAATTATACATTTGATGACAATTTGCACTGTCCTACTCAACATCGTATTTTACGATTAGATGGTCGTACTGCAAAAGTATGCGATCGTCTAAGTATAATTAATAAATTTCAAAATGATAAATCTTATACAGTTATGCTGTTAACTACTCAAGTAAGTGTGAACGGATGTTAGCCACTTCTAAAGCATTTGTTCGTATATACTATATACTGTCACTAAGCCTTGTTTTTAGATCTTTCCACTCACTAATGACTTTATGGTAAGAATTTTTGACCGGTATTGTTTGAATTTATTCCTGAAATATTGATAATTATTATCACATTGAAGCAGTGGTTCACCCACTATATAATAGGATTCGAGTCGACTATATCTGTTTCAATTTTTAGCCAGATAATATCGCTGATCTTACAAATGTTTCTGATTTATACTCAGTGCGGTACATATTTAGTTGGTCAAATATGTTTTCGACGTTTTTCATATTTAAATCATCACTAAACGAAAGACATTTGCCTTTCCAGTACGTTCGTCATCCAGTGCAGTATAGAATACAGTCACTTCTCTAGTTCTGAGATTTTTTAAGCTGGGTGTTGTCTTCCGTCGAGTTAGCAGTACTATGGTTTGTCTTATTTCCTGTTGAGTTTCTTCACTTATTACGGCAGTTTTGAGTGCTGAATCTAGTGCGGCAAAGAGTTCTAGTTTTGAGGCGTCACTTGTAGTTTAATCCTCTTTGGAACAAACAATATTCTTAATGTTTGGTATTTGTACATATCATTGCTATTATAATTATCACAGGTTTTTTGTTATAATTTACATATATAATGACTTCTCTATACTCGACGCCCAATATCTGTCAAACTATTCGTTCTAATCTTGACGAATATTCGTATAAATTTTTTGTTATACATCTTGCTAACTTCATCTCGTCGTGATGTAGTGTCAACTTAGGATAACTCATATTTGTCTTGAGCCTTACATTGATTATGTCTGACGGACTTGCAACTAAAAGTGTTTGTGTCCACTTCACTTTATAAAGTCTAGTAATAAATTCATTACCCTGGTAGTGTAACTGTCAATCAAATATCAAAGTTCAGAGGACAATAAATAATTTTTAAATCTTGTTATAATTACCGATCATAAACTGTATCTCAAGGATCTATATAAGGGTCTGAGAAAAGCTTATTTTAAATTCATAGTGACGTGGGCTCCAAGATTCTAAGGAAAGGACCGGTATATGAACCTACGTTACGCATTTAATTTGTACACTGCTCCACCAGCTTGTCAATTGGGCCTTCAAATAAAAAAGACTCAGATTTTTGTGTAGGAAAATCACTTATTTCAAGTTGCGACTTTCAAACATCAGTATAGTATTCGAAAATTTATGACTACTACGATGCAGAAAATGACTCCCTACCCACAAATACAAATTCAAAAGTTGTAAAAGCTATAATTATTTTGTCATAAACAAATTTATTTTGTTACAACTTGTATTTTGTGAAATAGCATTCTTATATACATATTAAACCTAAAATAAACATGATCAGATATCCTTTAATAAATGAACGTTTGGAGAATGTAAGTTTCGTACATCACTCGCTCACCAAAGAAATTAAATTATAACTATCGGAAGTAATCCTTCTTCATCATTTCAGTTGTATTTTCGATAAATGGTAAGTTACACTTTTGATTTCACTGATTAATTAAACCATTTTTCATCTATTTTCTTGTTAATTTTGTCTCTTTTTGCGACGTCCTTTCGATACCCTACTGGACTAAACCATTTTTATCTAATAGTATTGAGAAATCAGTACTTCGTAGCTAATTTCTGATTACATTTTTTCTCTGTAACTCGATTTTTAATTGTACCTCAATTACGCTTTTTTATAACTTGATAAAAGCGTTATCCTTCACTTAATAAATATGACTAACTTTATTTATATGAACATGTAATATATCTTAAAATAATTCACACTCGGTTCATATTTCATGATTTTTTGTTGTAGGTCGGTGGTGTTGGCCTGACAATTACATCGGCTAATCGTGTTATCATTCTCGATCCAAGTTGGAATCCAGCTGTAGACTCACAAGCTGTAGATCGTGCATACAGAATAGGTCAAAAACTAGATGTAGTTGTATACCGATTGATTACTTGTGCAACTGTTGAAGAAAAGATTTATCGTCGTCAAATATTCAAAGATTCCGTAATTCGTCAGACTACGTCGACGGGCCAAAACAAAACGGACTTAGATCCTTACCGATATTTTAGTCGCCAAGAACTGGTTGAATTATTTAGTCTCGGAGACACACGTATTTCTGAAACTAAACGGCAGCTAGATATATTACACGATGGTTCAGATAGATGGTCTGATAGTTCGATTAGCCCACATTTAAAATTCCTTAGTAGTGATGCACTAAAGCATGTTGTTTATGGTTTATCATTTCATGATTTAATGTTTAGTAAGGAATCTATTAATGAAGGAGCTATTGATACAGATCATGAGAAATTATACGTTTTGAATCGTTGTGTTGCAGCTGAACGTGCCATAGCTGAAGAATGCGCTGTTGAAGGAAGAGTAATTGGTAAAGAAATGCCAGCAGTCACAATGACACAAGCAGAAAGTATTGCAAAATCATTACCAACACATTTAGCGAATCTTAATTTACAAAATAAATTACCACCTTCCAGCTACAACAATCATGACAATCGTTTTATTAATCATGTACCATTAGATCAATTGTTCAAGCCTTCCAAGTCTGACACTCATAGACCAATGTTCAATAGACCAGCAACATCATTTAACAATCCACACACTAGCATCATACACACTTCATCTAATATTGAACATCGTAGTGGAAATATAAGTCCCAATTCAAATATACCATTAGTATGCACCACTGCTGAGCATCAATCAGTTAATCGCATTAGTTCTGTAAATACGTACGGGGTAAATACACCCCTTTCGCCAAAGCTAGGACGTCAGTTACAAGATGTTACTGAAGGTGTAGAAGTACAGCAGAAATATGGTAATAGATCTCTGGAAATCAGGAATTCTCCAACTAATGGTCTATCGGATAATGAGAGCCTCGATACACCTCCTAGTGCACCAGTTGCTGATATAGCATGCATAACTATAGAGGATTCAATTACACAAAGTTTGCGAGAAATAAGTTTAACTCAGAAGACTCCATCAAGACTTCATGATAATGAGAAAACTAACAAAGGATCAAATATTTTAAAAACTCCACTTCATCATCTTCGAACTTCATTGAATTCGAGATCATACTTTGCACCATTTAATTCAAATTTTTATCGTTCTACTCCATTATCTTCAAGGAAGTCAACAAAAATTCCTCCTAAGGAACACTTTGAACAATGTGGACAGGAATTAAACGAAGATCTCGGTGACGTCAAATCACCAACAGATTTTGATCCCGCTCAAAATTATATACATATGGATATTAGTATGGACATAAACGAAGATGATTTAGCTAATACAGTAGATATGAAGTCAATTCAGCAGGTTGGTAGTTTTGAGTTTTTACTTGACTTTCTGTATATTCGTTTACATAGTAGTTGTGCTGAATCTACGAATGTGCATAATAGTGGACACTGTCCTTCAACTTTGGACACAAATGAATACAGGGAATCTCTTTTATAAGTAAAACGACTATAACATCTCATTGTCCGTGAATACTAAGCAATAGGAATAGCTGGGTTAAAACCCTAAGAGAGAGAATTATAACACCTTCAGACAACCAGCATGACAGCGATGCTGCCTTCCCATAAGTAGGGTTGGGGTTAGAAAAGGTCGACTCTAAAAATGCACACCTCGCCTTATCCCACGGATATCCGTCTCCGGCGGTAAGGTCTCAACAAGTACTGAGCTAACACAAAAATTACTCATAAAAAGGTCGTGTTTGACCGACCTCAAGCAGCTGTCCCTTGGGCACTGCGGTCACGCTCTCAGGTCACTATGACCACCTCTAATCCAATTTCTTTTTCAGCTACCTCCATCAGAACACTTCCACGGTGTGGGCAACCGGGAAGTGATAACCGCCCTCATACCTTGAACAGCACTCAAGACCACTGTATTCATAATCAACCTACCTCTTCAATTCCTATTATTCCTCTTACATCGACTTTCAAATCTAAACCCCCTCTTTCGGCTTCCTCCTCAAGTGTCACCACAACCAACGATTCTAGTGCGCAAAACACTGTCCCAGGTCTACTGAAACCTCGCTCCAAACTACACATTGGAGCCTTCAACGTACGCACACTATGCCAAATCGGTCAACAGGCTTCCTTGGCCGAAACCTTAGAATCTCGTACGATTGATGTATGCTGTGTCTCCGAAACACGCATACAGGATCCTAGCGTGGTCATTCACTTGACCTCACCTCGGCAAAACGGAGTGCCGACGAGATACACCCTCCGTGTATCTGGCGACCCGATGGCTAGTTCTTGTGGACTGGCAGGTGTAGGCATAGTACTAAGCATGAGGGCGGAACAAGCGCTATTAGAGTGGATCCCCGTAAACAGTCGTCTATGCGCCGTTCGGCTAAACGGCTCGGTAAGAACTCGAAAGGATAGGGACACATTTCGTTGCCTTTTTGTCGTTTCTGCCTACGCTCCCTCTGACTGCAGTTCGAGTGAAGTGAAAGATGAATTTTACAGAAAGCTGTCTGAACTTCTTCAGAAAGCTAAACGTTCAGACATAGTACTCGTAGGAGGTGACTTTAATGCCCAGGTAGGTAGCTTAAACGAAACAGAAAGACATTTAGGTGGGTATTTTAGTATTCCGGCACAGCGAACAGATAATGGTGATCGTCTGCTGCAACTGTGCTCAGACAATCGTTTATTTTTAGCAAACACAAATTTTAAGCATAAGGAGAGACATCGTCTAACATGGCGACCCCCTGCACCAAACCAACGATGTACTCAAATAGACCATATTGCCATCAGTCATCGTTGGAGAGGGTCAATAGAAGATTGTCGCTCATTCTGGAGTACCTGCTTGGACTCCGACATGCCCTAGTACGAGCACGCATCTGCTTGCGCCTCACTGGACGCAAAAGAGCCACACAAAAAAGACTCATTAGAACCGAATTGAGTAATGAGAAAGCCAAAAGTAGGTTCCAGGAACAACTGAGGTCACACTTAGGTAGTTCTGAAAACGAGGCTGACCCAGATGTTGCTTGGAAAGTTATACAAGCAGCTGTGGAAACAGCAGTGACATCTACTAGTGATTTAAACCACAGGGTTACAAAGAACCAATGGATTTCTTCAAGGTCTATTGCACTGATAGATTCTCGCAAACTCATCCCATCAGGTTCTGAACAAGATGAAGAGCGTGAATAAATCAGATTTAGGTTAAGCAAAAGTCTAAGGAACGATCGTGAGCAGTGGTGGTCAACGAAAGCAAAAGAAATGGAAAAGACGGCGGCTATAGGGAACACAAGACAACTCTCATCTGCTCCCAGTTCAGACGCTTAGAACGATGGGTGGAACACTTTAAGGAGTAGTTTAGCTGACCTTCAGCTACTCTACAACTACTCTCTATTCCCAGACAGTGTGAATGGAACATCGAAGTAGGTCCCCCATCTCTAGCTGAAGTTCAAAAGGCTATAGTTAATCTGAGACGAGGAAGGGCAGCTGGTCCAGACGGATTGGCCCCAGAGGTCTTTAAGGAAAGTGGTCCAACTTTAGAGATTATGTTGACTAATATTTTAGTTAAAATCTGGGAGTTAGACGTTATCCCATCTAACTGGTCACAATCACTTATCGTCCCAATATTTAAGAAAGGGTCAAAATCATCCTATGACAACCATAGAGGGGTTAGTTTAACTAATATAGTATCTAAAATCAGTCAGTCAGTAACAACGTGGAACTTCGTACGTACGTACATCAGTTCGAGTTGCCATACCACATTAGCACAGAGATTCAGTTATCGATTCAAATCCCATAGTGGTAGAGGTACTGAAAGTATAAGTAGAGATAGGGGACATTAAGGTTTGATGATGTTATTAAAGGAGTATAGTCCAGTGGAATAAATTGGGAAAGAAAATAAAGGACATGAAGAATTCAGAAGATTAGAGTTTAAGAGAACACAAAGAGTGGATGCACCTGCACCATTGCAAACGATTTTGAGCCATGTCATTCAAGGTCTCTAACCCTCGGTTGCTATCGTCTCGCGGTCCCCAACCAGGTAGTCTACACCTACCAACATGACTCAGTCCACTTGTCAGTGACTTCATGGATTTGTGCCATGTTTTGGTCTGGCCGCCCCTAGCTTTCTTCCAACCTAAAATACTAGCCTCGATAATTTTGGGACGCATAACTAAGACTCGTGAACTGCAAACACGTGAAAATCAAGCTGGCTTCAGACCAGGTCGTGGCTGCATCGACCACATATTCACCATTCGTCAGATTCTAGAACACAGACATATTTATCGGCGTCCGACAATAGTGGTCTTCCTTGACTTAAAAGCAGCGTTTGACTCTGTTGACCGAGAGGTTCTGTGGCAGTGTCTGTCATTGAAAGTCGTACCCCAGAAGTACATAAACCTTGTGAAAGCTCTTTACTCGAACACTACTAGTCGAGTCAGAGCTTATGGTGAACTGTCATCTGCTTTTGCAACCTCAAGTGGCGTCCGCCAAGGCTGTCCACTTTCTCCATTTTTGTTTAACTTTATCATAGACCTCCTGATGGAAATAACATTCTCGTCGACTGAATTCTCGGGTATTGATCTCCTACCAGGAGGTCCACTTATTGACTTAGAATACGTAGATGACATAGTCCTGTTTGGTGAAGACGCTGATGAAATGCAGAATCATTTGGTAGCACTGAGCAACAATGCCAGAATGTTTGGGGTGTGCTTCTTTCCCTCTAAATGCAAGCTGTTGCTGGCCTGCGTCAACAACTGAACTAAAGATAGAGAGTGAAGTAGTCGAACGCGTTGACAACTTCTCTTATCTTGGAAGTCTGATCAGCCCTAATGCGTTGGTGTCTGACGAAATCTCAGCACGGATTCGAAGAGCTCGTTTGGCTTTCGCCAACTTACGTCATCTATGGCACAGGCGAGATATCCGTCTATCAATTAAGGGTCGAGTATACTGCGCGGCAGTTCGTTCCGTTCTACTATACGGCTGCGAAACATGGCCTTTAAGAGTAGAAGATATTTGTAAGTTACTAGTATTTGACCACAGATGCCTTAGAAATATTGCTGGTATCTGCTGGGATCACCGGGTAAGTAATAGTGAGGTTAGACGCAAGGTTTAGGGAATGATGGTAAGTCGGTTGATGAGGTTGTGAATCTTCATCGACTGAGATTGTTGGGCCACGTGTTGCGTATGTCTGAACACCGATTACCACGACGCGCAATGCTAACTGGTGTTGGGGATAATTGGAAGAAAGTTAGGGGCGGCCAAACCAAAACGTGGCATCAGTGCTTGAAGTCACTAACTTCTGGTCTGAGCCATGTTGGTAGATACAGACTACTTGGTTGGGATCCGCGTGACTATCGTAACCAATGGTTGGAGACTCTTGGTGACATGGCTCAGAACCGATCACAATGGTGTAGGTGTATACACTCTTTGTCTTCCCTTAAATTATGAGACTAAAATTATTTCATATCTTTCTTCCTACGAATTAACTTTCTTCCTGTACTATATCCTTATATGCAATCTTTCTTTTATATATTACACCATTGAGTTGATTGCTTCTATGAATTTGGTGTTCATCTTGCTGTGATAATGAGGTGTGGCAACTTGGACCGATGCACATATGTGCCTGGTCCTAGTTTGCAGCTAACTGACTGTGTTATATGAAATATTCCTTAGAATTTTTCCCATAAAATATCCATGAAATCGTAGATATAAGTAGCATAAGAAATGTATCTGATTTTTTTGTGTACATTTTATGTTCAGCTATATACTTTGTGCTTATCAAAAAGAATATTTCGTCTTTTTTTAAAGTTTGATTGTAATGTTATATTTTTCTGTTCGTTTAGGTACTTGCAAAATCTGGTATTTTGAATTCTACTGATTTAAACAATAAAAATGAAACTGAAGGAGGTGAATCCATGTCAAATTCAATTGAAATCCATAAATCTTCCACTCAACAAGAACTTAATTCAGTTTCGGAAGAAAATAATTTCACTATATCTTTAAGTGATTCTGAAGTTGTCATGGACTCTTACATAAATCGTCAGTCTGTCGAAAAGACGCATATTGATGATACTGATGTTATTGAATCTAGTTTCTGAAGATGATTTTTAAAACTTGATTTTAAAATATGTAAATAGTACATCAGTTCATCTAATCGTTACGTTTTTTTACGTTAGTAAAGAGTAATGATAAAATAATATCTTAATAAGTAGAAAATAGAATTTCTGTAGTTTCATAGCATAGTGTAAGTTGCTGCTTCAGAAACAATTCAATTTTCTACTTAATGGGATATTACAAATATATTATTTTACCATTACAAACAATCCACTCAATCCTTAATGTATTTAAAAGTAAGTGGAAAATGACATATAATAGTAGTTTTGTCAATTGAGTAACTACGAACAGAATATTAGTAAACTGTGGGCCACTTTTTAAAAAATTACTAACCATATTTTCTGCCATTCTAGGTATTGATGAAATTCAGCATGATATATTATTTATTTATTTATTTATTTTAACACATAAGTATAAGTACAGGGAGGCACCAAATACATATGCGCCACACAAATCTCAATTGATTTGTGTGAGGGCTGTGATACTGCCCGGGTGCCCAAACCGAAGCAGGTGGTTTTCTTAGGGGGCCACACCCCGAGCCTTTGACCTGAATGTCTGACCCACAAGGCAGTGGAGCATCGTGAGGAGATGCAGTCCCATGGTAGCCGGTGACCAACGATTGGTTTATACGCCATTTGTTCCCGCAGGATACTGGAGCCCATGTGCACCATTGGTTTGGGGTCCGGTTAGAGCGCTTTTCGTCCTCTCATTTTTGTAAACAACACCCCCGCCACGAGAAGGCAGTGAGTAGGACTTCCCTGGCAGAGGCTATATACGCATGGCCATGTGAGAGCATTTCGAGAGGGAGAGCGGTCTCTCCCCACTTTCGGCCGTACCAGGGCATTTGGGGGCCAGCATGATATATACCAATGGTTTAAGTGAAATTAGTAAATACAAAGGTGCAGGAGTAACCATTTTTAAAATTTTGTTTAAAGCGCATAAACTGTGGCCGTTTCGCAAATTCGCTGGTGAAATCAATCACTATTTTTGTGGCATCATGCAATTGCTCACAATGTCCATCCATGTTTTTTAGCGGACTGCTAGGTAGTCTTTAAACTACCTCAGCAGGAGAATAAAAGTACACACAAAATGGAAATAAAAAGACGTTCGTTCCCCCAGGATCTTGAAGTGTTTTTTAATCAAAAAGCTCACCACTTTGGTCGACCTATCTGGTTCTTATATATTCTTTGACTAATGCTCATTAGTGCTGATGAATTTTGGGGACCAAGCTACTTCCAGAGGGGAAGAGGTTTGCTTAATTGCTTAGACTGATGACTTACATGCACATGTGTCTTGCTAGACCTCCAAATAAACTGACAATATACGAGCACCTTATACATCAAAATTATCGTATATAAACAATAATAGCTACGGGAATCAATAATAATGATTAATCAGAATGGCGCATAGAACTATTGCTGCAATAAGTGATTCAGAATGCTATAAAGATTTCTATTCATAGCAAATGGTATATTAACATCAAGGATATATGCGTACGTGTATTATTGGACGTGAACGAAGAGTAAAATGAGTATACAATATGATAATACAAAAATTACCTGACCAATGTAGATAAGAATATTAAGTAAAATGACTTTTAGAAAACGAGATGAACTTTCCTTTTAGAGGGAAATCTTTGAATTGACAAATGGTTATGGAAAAACTCAGTAAATTTCTAATGTCCTTGATGTGGTTACGCAATTATAATAATTCAAAAATTTGAAGGATGAAAACAACTGACACTTGAATTAAATGCAGTTAAAACATTAAGATTTGTCGAATTGGGTTTGCATCAGCCTACGTTTGGTTTACAAGACGCCTTAGATTTGTACGCTGCATTAAACTTGCTCGTTGATCCGCTAATTTGTCGCACATTTGTGGCAGGTACGGGTTGTGTCCACTTTCTCATAAAATTCTTTAGCTGCCGCATTACATTTATTGCGTTTGGTAACTGCATAGAATATGTTGTCTGATTACAGTTTGGAAAGCTGTGTGCTCAGACAGTCTAATATCTAAAAAAGAACAGTTTTTGTATTGATGGAGATGTTTCTAAGCTGTCTCTTATAAGTGTAAAAAGTTTTTATTCATTTGGTATATCAAAAGTATCAATCCTATCCTATCATCAGCCCATTAAGGCTGATGAGAATTCCGAGATAAGTTATTTGTTTTTTGACTCAATCAACTCCTTCACTCGCTATGAACAATTTAAGTGATGTTGCAGTGCAGTCCTAAAATTGCGAGGAAAGCAACCCATAAGTCTTTTCGTTTTTGCTCGAAGCGTTTGCAAGATTGGGCTTTCTAATTATCCTTATCTAGCACAATTATCCTCTGAGTATTCTAGATTGATAAGTGAGCTTCCGAGTAGAAGATATATACTTGAAAATTTAAACGAAGGAAAGTTCTATGTGAATACTTGTAACGATAAAAAATGGGGATAGCGAGCTGTCTTAACGAACGCTGATGAAAGTTGCCAATTACGGCCTTAACTCAACTAAAGGTGTTCAAGTAAATAGCCTTCAGGAGGTTTACATGCTTTTCAACACACCTTTCAACGACAAACACAACCACAAAACCTCTTGGTCAACATAGCCAAATGCTATCTTCAAGTCAGTAAGTTTGATTAGAGTTGAGCGTTGGTATTTGCTCTAGTATACTGACTTAGTCAATACTTACATGATCACGTCTCGAAGTGACTTGGTTTACGCATTTTTGCTGTTCCAAAGCAAGTGATAAAGCAGGCTAATGTTTTAGATATCTTGTTATCTCACACCACAACAAATTGATGTTAGATTGGTTGTTTTTGGTAGTACTACTCTCTATCTGACCTGCTTGGTATAATATAACCACACAGAAAAAGTACTCCAACCAGTGTAGCTCGACTTGATCGTCACGATGTAAAAGTTAAACAACCATGCCAATGTTTATTTATTTATCTTATTTTAACACTAAACAAGTATTTAGTTCTGTTTGAGAAATGTCAATTGGATATTCTTGTATCAGAGTTTTGATGACATCGTAAATGATGTATTTATTTATTTTAACACATAGATATCGGTACAAGGAGGCACCAAATACATATGCGCCACACAGATCTCATTTGATATGTGTGACGGCTGTGATACTGCTCGGGTGCCCAAACCGAAGCAGGTGGTTTTCTTAAGGAGTAACAACCCGAGCCTTTGACCTGAAGGTCTAATCCACAAGGCAGTGAAGCATCGTAAGGAGATGCAGTCCCATAGCAACCGGTGACCAACAATAAATTCATACACCATTTGTTCCTTCAGGATACTGGAGCCCATGTGCACCATTGGTTTGGGATCCGGTTAGAGCGCCGGACATTCGCTTTTCGTCCTCTCGTTTTCGTAAACAACACTCTTGCCACGTGAAGGCAGTGAGTGGGATTTCTCTGGCAGAGGCTATATACGCGTGGCCATGTGAGCATTTCGAGAGGGAGAGCGGACTCTCCCCACTCTCGACCGTACCAGGGCATTTATGTTTTGATGTGAAGCTTGGTTTCCTAGTATTAACGACGAAAAGAATGCCTTTGTGCACATAAAAGATGATTGATCTCTCAAATGTAAAACCATCTAAGATCAAGAACACGTCATCAGGCCAACAAACACGCAAATATTATTGCAATTAATGAAGCTGGGAAAAAGTACAACAAAACTGATCTAGCAGTTTGTTTGGGTTCACCAGCCAATCCTAGCCGATTGCCATTGGTCCACACATCAAGTTTCTGTTGTGATTTACCATTTTCATGAAAGTATTTTCACATGATTTCGTAATATATATAAGCTATGCAATAAACATAAATCAATAACTACCATGTCTACTGTTAATCTATACATATGTGCATAAACAAGTTGATTTACGCAAAATTTTGTACTTTAACTAATACTGTTTATTGTTAAATTACTGTGGTAGTTGTACTAATTAATGATTGCTTGGTACTTGATTGCACGCTTAAAACGAATGCCGAATATAGTACGTTTGGTTATGTTCATTTCGTTCTACCCGCCTTGAATCTCACTATTTTGGGAACTCTTAGCACAATAATCCGAATACTTCTAATTATCATACTAGCGTCTCGATAAGGTCAAATCTTGGACAGTCGCATGCTAATTCAAGTGGGCAAAGACGTGTATATCCTACTAGAGAATTTGGCTTTTCCAGAGAAATCAACTTGATTGTTATATGAATCTCTTAAGGAATTTCTACTTAGTCATGTGCAGAGACGGATCAAACTGTCATATAATGATGCGACGGAATGGGCGAACAGTTAGAGACTTTATACTTGAACTACAGAAACAGGCCGTGACGTGCAATTTCGAAGACTGGTTGGAAGTTCATCTTCGTTATCGGTTGACTGCTGGGATAAACATTCCAAATATAGAAAAAGAATACATTCAAAAACCTAAAAGTTCATTAAAGGAAATTAGAAAAACATATATTTACTATAAGGCTGTGAACGAGCTTGGTTTCCAGTCAGTGAAAATTTCTAATACTTTACTTAGTTGCCATGATGATTTACATACTCAAGCTCACTTGCGGTTAATAGTGGTTCCCATTTTCGCGGAAACGTGGAAAATGATTCGACAAAGAATCGGAAAGTAGGTTATAAAGGTAAACACAGATTCAGTGAGTGCTTATCTTGTGACAAGTTTCACTCACGTAATTAATGTGTCTTTCGGCGTGCTAAATGCCTCAAGTGTGGTAAAATGAAACACCTCAAGTCGGTTTTTAAAGTTACTGTTCGTTTCGCCACCAGGGTTGGTAAATCCAGTAGTTCGGATTTTATTGAGTTGGGTGTTTCTAATGATCACTTATCTCAATTTACGAGTTTGGAAGGTAATTTCCATATTGAGAAGCCATTATATGCCTCCCTTGGTTCATTCCATGACTATTGTTCACACAGACAATATGGAGTTCACTGTCTTGTTCAAGAACTTGAAGTCTTTAAATCCTAACGTTGTAGTACTACCCATTGAAATCTAAGTATTGAGGATTACTGAATACAAACTGTCTACAGGGGTGCTGTTAATTGTTAATTAGATACGATAATTCTTTATAAATGCCTTGAGTTTTTAGTTAGTGAAACAGGACTGTCAGTACTTGATTTAGAAAATTTGAAGACCTAAAGTGGAGCTGTCTTTATTAGTTTCTAGAGATTCTGACGCTTTACTTAAAGATTTGATAGCTGAGTGTGCTAAGTGAATTCGTGGGATGAGAATTCAGGCTATAAAACTTCAAGTACAGGGCGATCCTGTCTTTCTTAAATGATGAATAATTCTTTATGGTATTCGAGAAACAGTACATAAGACATTGAATCAATTGTGTACAAAAAGTGTAATTGAGCCGGATTTCGTCTTCAGCTTGGGGTACTCCTCTTGTTACGCTCTTGAAGTCATAGAACGACCCCTAGAATATGTAGTTATTACGGATTATAATTAACCCCCACTTGTTGGAGCAAACGTGTACGATGATGGAAGCTGAAGATATGCTTAATTGACTTCATGGTTCTGAGGTATTATTGAAAGATGCTTACCCTCAAGTCTCCTTAGATCAATCTTCACCTAATTTAACAACAAGTCACACGCATTTTGGTCTATTCAAATACGACCTTATTTCGTTTAGGTTGTTCTCCATCCGTATTTCAATAAGTGATGAATAATGTAGTCAGTGAATCTAAAGGTGTTGGAGTTTATCAAGATGGTTTTATTACTCATGGTTCTGATAAAGAAGATCATGATCAGAGACTTGTTTCCTTATTGCGTCGTCTAATTCAGAATTTTTTTGTTCGCTGCTCCTAGGCACCCTTGTCATAATGGTCAGGCAGAAAAATTTATCAGGACATTAAAAACTGGCATTAATTCCGTTTCTGTTTCAACATTTGATGAACTGGAGAGGGGAGTAGACATATTTCTACCGCAATATAGAAATGCTAAACATTCTGCAACGAAAGTGACATTATCTAAATTATTAGAAGCGAGAATTCTTCGCTCGAATGTGAAATGCTTAGAGTCTGCAGAAGTTACATGTTATCGTGGAAACGAATTTCAGCTAGCCGCGAGGATCGGGGTGGAGAATATTGGGGAAATCTGTCATTTGAGTTCTAAGTATCAATGATTAGATTACATGTTAACCAAATACAATTCCAGGTGAGTCCGTTCCGATTTCGGTTGTTAACTTTTACAATAATGATTACATTCTAGACCATATAGAGTCTCTATCGAATACACAACCTGACAGACACATGATGGACCTAAGGTGACGACACAATCGATTGCAGGAAGTTTGATTTCCATGTAAGCTGTGGTGGTTGTAGTATTTGTACTAACTGGTAATTACTTTGTACTTGACTGTACGCTTGAAACGAATTCCAAGTATAATACGTTCATTTGTGCTCATCTAGTTCTATTGGCTATAAACTGCACTATTTCGGGAAGTCCTAGTTAGCACATTAACCCGAGTACTTCTAATTATCACACTTATTCACCCATCAACAGCGTGAAGATCACTTTATTCAAAATATGTTCATTTATGTATCGATTTTATTGACATTTTATAAATAAATGTCACAAATAATCGAAATAGGAAAAATACTAAAATGAACAAAGTTATTAAAACAAAATACGTGCTGCACGTTATATTGAATAAGAAATCACTCTGAATTAAATCCAAATGTTTATCATATAGAACTAAAAACAGAACACAAATTACAGTGAGTTAGAATGTAAACTTTCAAATTTATCCTGTTCTAAGATTAATATAGAACTAAGATAATGTAATTATATTACACTATCTTCCATGTTTGTCAATATATAACAGTATAACATAGTATTATTTACTAAATGACAATATGGAGAAAAAACTTATTATTCATAGTCTCAAGGTTGAAATATTCAAACTATATTCTAAAAAAAATGAACTAGAAGTGATAATGATATAGCAGCATTCCGAGTCCATTCTTTAGTTCACATAAACATTTTCGAAAAATAATTTTCATCACAAATTGATAACATTTGGATAGAATGATTTGCTAATCATCTAGTTTACGGATCCTACAGTGTGGTGTACCAGTTGTGAACACATCCAAAGTATGGTACACACAGGATTGAATCTAGTACTTTCAAATCTTATAACAGAGAGAATGATATCATGAAGTTATTTTTAAGCAAGAATCCGACACTGCGCAATTTTGGATCGAGTTATTCTGTAAATCTGTTTCGCAAATTATTTTTTCATTTATAAGCATTAAAAACAATACATAATACTGAACAAAATTTATGCATAAATATATGTAGGACAAAATGAATTTTTGGTATTTCTTACATGTTACTGTGAACTGTGCAAAATTGGAAAGTGATGCTTCATTTAATGTTGCCTTTCTGGTTCCAACTGTTGAGACTAATTTCTATAGATTTTTACGTATTGTAAAATCGGTCAATGATTGCTAGTAATTTTTCGCTTTACATTCTTCTCAATCATATACAAGTCAGAGGTGATTTGCAATTTTTGATTTATTATTCACTTACAGTTTTCAAATTATAATCTCACCCAGTATTATAAATGGTGTGAATGTGAAGTCATGAATAGAATTGAGGATTCATTTTATCTCATAAATGTTCCTGTTTTCTATTTATTAAAGTATATCAAAGGAATCAACTCAAAGATAAACACTAATTCACTCATTCCTAAAGATTTCAAATATATATAACATATATACATTACTGGTCATAATGTAGTCATAAGCAACATAGTATTTGGGATAAATGTGAATCGATCCAAGTTGCTACACTGAATCAGCATAAAAAGATGAAAGTATCAAAATGAATACGAAAGGGGAAATAATAGTATTAGCAATAATAAAAAAACCTTAAGCGAACAGAGTATGGTTCAAGAAGAATGTATTTAATAGAGAATTGAAAAGTGCACAATAAATCCGAAATACAGAAATCAAAGGAAGGAATTGAGTGAATGATATCCACACCATTGTGGCCGATTCTCAGCGAAAATACCCAACACCAGCACCGATCGCAGTTATCGATCGGATCACAAGAAGGTAATCTTCATCTACCACCATGTCTCGGATCTGAAGTCTGTCAGTTAGTCAGTTACAACGTAGGACCAGGCACATATGTGCATCGGTCCAAGTTGCCACACCTCATTATCACAGCAAGATGAACACCAAATTCATAGAAGCAATCAACTCAATGGTGTAATATATAAAAGAAAGATTGCATATAAGGATATAGTACAGGAAGAAAGTTAATTCGTAGGAAGAAAGATATGAAATAATTTTAGTCTCATAATTTAAGGGAAGACAAAGAGTGTATACACCTACACCATTGTGATCGGTTCTGAGCCATGTCACCAAGAGTCTCCAACCATTGGTTACGATAGTCACGCGGATCCCAACCAAGTAGTCTGTATCTACCAACATGGCTCAGACCAGAAGTTAGTGACTTCAAGCACTGATGCCACGTTTTGGTTTGGCCGCCCCTAACTTTCTTCCAATTATCCCCAACACCAGTTAGCATTGCGCGTCGTGGTAATCGGTGTTCAGACATACGCAACACGTGGCCCAACAATCTCAGTCGATGAAGATTCACAACCTCATCAACCGACTTACCATCATTCCCTAAACCTTGCGTCTAACCTCACTATTACTTACCCGGTGATCCCAGCAATATTTCTAAGGGATCTGTGGTCAAATACTTGTAGCTTACGAGTATCTTCAACTCTTAATGGCCATGTTTCGCAGCCGTATAGTAGAACGGAACGAAGTGCCGCGCAGTATACTCGACCCTTAATTGATAGACGGATATCTCGCCTGTGCCATAGATGACGTAAGTTGGCGAAAGCCAAACGAGCTCTTCGAATCCGTGCTGAGATTTCGTCAGACACCAACGCATTAGGGCTGATCAGACTTCCAAGATAAGAGAAGTTGTCAACGCGTTCGACTACTTCACTCTCTATCTTTAGTTCAGTTGTTGACGCAGACCAGTCCTGATGCAAAAACAACACAGCATACATCAATGTTACAAGATTCTAAGATTTTAGCCACGGAGGCCTGCTGTCTGATTTAACATAAGGCGCGTACGTTGAAATATCCAACGTGTAGTCCGGAGCGAGGTTTCAGTAGACCTGGGACAGTGTTTCGTGCACCAGAATCGTTGGCCATGGTGATACTTGAGTGAGTTGAAAGTTGGTTTAGGAGGAATGATAGGAATTGTAAAGGGAGATTGATTATGAATACAGTAATCTTGGGTGCTGTTAGAGGTATGAGGGCGGTTATCACTTCCTGGTTGCCCACACCGTGGAAGGGTTCTGCTGGAGATACCTAGAAAGGTAATAGGATTAAAGGTGGTCTTAATAAACTGAGAGCGTGACCGCAGTGCCCAAAGGACAACTGCTCGAGGTCGGTCACACACGAATTTTTTGTGAGTAGTTTTTGTGTTAGTTCCGTACTTGTTGAGACCTTACCGCCGGAGACGGATATCCGTGGGATAAGGCGAGGTGTGCATTTTTAGGGTCGACCTTTTCTAACCCCTCCCCTCCTTTTGGGAAGGCAGCATCGCTGTCATGCTGGTTGTCTGAAGGAAACACCTTACTGCTGTCACATATCTGTACAGTCAGCAGTACGACTTCGCCTTCAGACCTTGGGTTTGCTGTTTTTAGTCTTACCGTCCTTCAACCGACCTGTCTGGCATGGTAGGACCTTGAGGAACGATTGTTCCAGCCAGTATAGCTTGATTGTTTCATCACGATAGGCAAGCTCGACCACCACGTCAAGGTAGCAACAATGGTCTATCACGATAATCAATAGGTGGAAGAGGTTAAGGATTAGTCTTATATATATAAGGTTGAGAAATATATATAAACTAAAACGTGCACTTACATGGGCGAAATGAGTTGAAATTGTAGTGAAAAAATCATCAGTTCAGGAGTATTAGAAATCGAATTTTTAATCAGTGGGCGATACGTGGTAGGTTCTAACTCCTGCCATGAATTTAGGAAGCAGTGAAAATGCACCGGAGAGAAATACTGAGGTTTAAAATCAATAACATCTCCTTGCCATATAAGAGCGGAATAAAACATGTATATAATTGTCCTTGATAAAACACAAGTATTTAACATGGGTTCATTTACTTTGCTAAAGTCGTCAGGAAACAAAAGAGCTTTGACATAAGGACAAGATATCTGACCAGATTTCTGAATAAATGCTCATAAGCTATGAAGGCGTAGTAGTTCAGGATGTAAAATATGCCATAAGGCAAAATTTTCGTATGTACATAAAATATGATTGAGTCTTGTAGAGACTTGAAAAATAAACAAATGATTTGTGACGATCGTGAATATTTATTACTTTGGGCATATATAAAGGTATGTTGATTTAAGCTTCAAAACATAGAAGACCACATGCAGCGTCCTTTGGTCTAAACTTTCCTTCACTAGCCATTTTGCCAATGTTTGAAGTTTCTACTAATGTGTCACTCAGTGATTTCGGACTACTTAAATTCTGCGACACTTTCCTACAAAAATCTATGAAGGAGTCCCATAGAAGTGTTATTTTGAGCCTCATTCAGTTTAGGTGATGAATTTCGTCCAGAAAAATCAAGATCTGCATGCGTATATTCTTCGAATAGATCTTGCTTAAATTCGACTCGAGTTGGACCTATACACTCAGAGATTGAATTTGTGAACAGCAATAACAATTGAACAAACTGTTGGCGACTGTGTAATCCCATAAGTAGTTTTTCCTCACGACCGAAAACATGGTAGATTCATTTTCAAGATTTCTGTTCAAATCATTTACATGAGCTATTAATTCTAACACTGACAACTTGTGAAGACAGTCATTACGAAAGCAACCGTAACCATCAAAAATATTTGAGGGTTCATAAACTGGCATACCATCTGTGAATGTGTAATGATCCTCTTCGTCAAAGACACCCATAGCGATTATTATATGACGCAACTGATAGATTAATCGTCGCAATAATTCACAAAATGCAACAAGATATTTATCTCTAATTAACTGAGTGCAGTGCATATACATACAAATAAATACACTTTGCGCAAGAGAATCTCTCGTCAGCCAATTTACGCAAGCAGCTAAAAGTTCATCTATGATACCCAAAAGCTCGTAGTGACGAGAAAGGCCTTAAAGGTAACTGCTCACTAGATAACGCCTCACATACAGTCACAACTTTTCGGTTTCCTTGAATTCGAGCATCCATTTTAGGGTCCATAATCTCAATAGCTGACATAGAATACTGCAAGTCCAACCAACCACCGTGCAATAGTTCATCAGGTTCTAGTCCGATTCGACAAGCAAAAAAGAAGGCATTTGTTATATCCATTGTCACATGTTCAGGGATTGAAACTGGTTGAATAAAATTGGTAATATTTTGTTCTGAAGATTCAGTAGTCGTTCTGCATACAATGAGATTAATGTATGGGTAACACTCATTACAATAAAGAGCCCTTTGAATACACCTTTGGACAATTACATAAGTTTGTAAAGTCTGTGACTTCATGGAATGATTCCATGCGCTTGTCCTGACGTTCTTAGCTTTCTTGCAACCTATATGTATACCAGCTTACATACTGCATAGAAGTAGATGCTCGATGGGCTTGTAAACCTTCATCGACCGAAATGGTCAGAATTTGTCCCATGTAGTCAGACTGCAGATCTGAGCCGTGCTGGTAGATGAAGATTATTTGGTTGAGATTTGCTCGATAACTCTAGATCTTGAATGTCAGTATCCTTTCATATATACGATTGTCTTACTGAGACACATTATCAACGCTTAGTCTTCTTAATCATGATCTTTGCTACACTATTTCAACTCCACTACATATTTTGCTAATTTCATCTGATTGTGTTAATGTGGTTTGGCGACGTGGATCAACGTACATTCATAATAGGTCCAATATTGATGTATCTGTGCAAACATTAATCATTTAGCTCCTACTACTTATAACGTCATGATTAATAGATCATAGTCTCAGCACAGTAGTATACGGTTCAGAAGGCATCACTCAATGTGTTATTAATACAATACAATATTTCACAAGGAATTCTCCCTCCTATTAATTTACAGCTACCTTGCTTACGTTAGATTTAAAGCCGCTTAACGAAAAGTCTGAAAGTCACTACCTATGCGTCTTATCACCAAATGAAAAACGCGTTCAGATGGATGCAGAAAAACATATGAATGATTACATCATAGACCAAAAAGGAAATTAGCATCAGATTTAATCTATAACGAAAATAAATTGTCACCAATATGATTAATAA